TGTATTTTTATGGTTGAACAGTATTCCACTGTGTGTATGTACCACATTTCTTTATTGATACATCCATTAATGGACATTTAGGTAGATTCCATATCCTGACTATCGTGAATCATGCTGCAGTGGACATGGGAGTGCACATATCTCTTCAACATACTGATTTCATTTCCTGTGGATATGTACCCAAAAGTGGGAATGCTAGATCATATGATAGATCTATTTTTAATTTTTCATGTTATTTTAAAAAATGGTTGTACTAATTTATATTACCATCAACAGTATGCACGAGTTCCCTTTTCTCTACATCCTCACCAACACTTATTATCTTTTGTCGTTTTGACAACAGCAAAGTCTAACAAGTGAAGTGGTATCTCATTGTGGTTTTGATTTGCATTTCCCCGATGATTAACAATGTTGAGCTCCTTTTCATATATCTGTTGGCCATTTGTATATCTTCATTTGAGAAATGTCTATTCAGGTCATTTGCCCATTTTTTAAATTGGATTATTTGGGGTATTTTGCTATTAAGTTGCTTAAGTTGGTATGTGCTATTTGAAATGAGAGACAGCTCTAGCTGGATCAATCTCTGACTTTGGTAAATGTGCCAGACACTGTTGGCGTTGTTCAATTGCCACTCCTCTCCCTTCTCTTCCTTCCTCCCTGGCAAAGCCATCCTCCAAGGAGAATCACTGAAATGCTAAAAACCCACTTGCCCAGCATTGCAGCTACAAGTGGCCATGTGATCCATTTCTGCCAAACTAGATTTAAGGATAAGTCTATTTAGGGATCCCTGAGTAAGCTTCTCTTTCCAGGTGAAAAGGGATGTTGCATCAAGAGAAGCCCCTGTACCCCTCTATCTTGTCCATGTTTTTGGCAGTGTAAACAAGTGATGTCTGCAGCTGCTGCAGCCATCATATAATCATAAGGCAAAAAGCCTGAAGACTAAAAGCCAACACGCCAAGGAAAGAGGTGTGGAAGGTTGGACAGAGCCAAGGTCCTTGATGTCATCATCAAGCTGCTGACTCAACTATGGGACCCAGACTTCCAGACTCCTTGTTATGAGGGATAAGTTAAAGTGATTTCTGTTTAGGCCATTGCTAGGTATTATTATCTACCGTTTAGAGCACACTAAGTTATGTAATCTCTCTGAGCCTAAACTTTCTCATCTAAAAAGTGAGGCTAACATCAGCTAGGAGAGTTGGGAGTAATTAAATGATTTGGTTTACACAGGTCACCTGATGTATTGCTGCCTACTCAGAGTAGGTTCAGGACATTTTAGTTAAATGTGAAGAAAAAGTCATAGTGCCAAACACCGCTTTTGGTTAAATATGAATGTTGCAACAACTATTTGATGAATTTTTTATTTATTTATTTATTTTTTATTATTTCAGGGTATTATGAGGGTACAAACATTATGGTTACACTTTATGTCTTTGCCTCACCCAAGCAAGGGTTAGAGGCATGATGAACTTTTTAATGCAGAGAATGAACAGACAGTACAATGAATTTTTGCGTTATACTGCTTTATATTATTATATTATATATAATATGTGCATCAATATGCATACCTACATTTATACAGTTTTTTCTCCAACCATCCTTTTTAGTGCTTTCTTAGGGAGCTATTTTCCCTTTCTCTGGGGCAGCAGGTATATCACAGTGGAGTGTAAAGTCTCTGAAAACAGTCTGTTTACTTATAATATATGTCCATTTAAGAACTCTTTCTACATTTGTCTAGGCTGGTTTAAGTCTCATCACATTAGATTTTCCTGGTAACATTTTCCAAGTTTTTATATGCTTCAGCAAGCCACAAACTTTACCAGGCCCTCGAATTGGGTGTTCCTTGATCTAATACGAAAATATTGTGAAACCCATGTTCCTTCCAGATGGAAGAAATGAGCTTGCTGGTAATGCTGCCTTCTTTTGTCCCTTCAGGAGTGGCTACTCTCACGGACTCTTGGGTAATTGCTGAAATCGGCTTTATTTTTCTGCTTCTTAGAAAGCAATCAGCTTGTCTATGAAAATCATCTTCCATCGTCAGGACAACAATGGCTCTTGCAGCCTCCTCTCTGTCTCGAGTGGAATTCAAAAGGCATTGGTCTCTTCCAATTCCAAAGGGGAAGAAAGCAGGTGAGGCTCTGCTCCTAAAGTGCCTGAGTAAAGTACTTGAGTATCTTCCTTCTCAACGAAGTGTATAAAATGGCCCTTCCTCACTGGGAAATTTTCAAGAGGGATAAAATTGACAACTTCTTATATTTCCCTCTTATCTATTTTTGGCAGTAAACTACATTTCAAGGTGCAGAAACCTATCTCTTTGGTAAAAGTGGCTGTGGCAGCTGGTTTGACATCAGCCAGCGCAGAATTAGGTGGCTGGGAGGGGAGACGGTACACACACCCACACTGCTTACACAGGTTGAGGTCATGTGATCGTGACATCTCACTAACTTCAGATCCAGAATATTACTCAAAATGTAGCTTTCATGAGTAGCGTTAGTTCCTGGTGGGAGAAACTCAAGATTTACTTTCCGGAATATTTGGGAACATACCTAGTCAAGGAAAGTCGCTCCTTCAAGACATAGTACCTACGAGAGTAGGTTGTATAAAAAGAGTGACCTGAATTTGACTATTGCTTCTGTCCCTTACTAGTTACGTGTCTTGACAGTATACACGGGAGATTGGTTCCAGGACACCTCCCCTACCTTACGTGGGTTTCTGCAATTTCACATCCTGCCACTACAAATACTGTATTTTTTGATCCACTTGTGGTTGAAAAAAATCCACATATAAGTGGCGCAGTTCAAACCTGAATGGTTCAAGGGTCAAATGTATAAAAATACTTCATAATCTCCTGTGGATCTCTCATTCACCCAACAAATATTTATTGACTGCCTACTATGTGCCAGGAATTGCTCTTGTGCTAGGAAATATTCTCTTTTTTTGCTGATGCTTAAAATGCTTCATTCATCTTGGAAGATGTATGACTTGCAACCCTGTCACAGGTCAGCTGTCAATCTCTCTGCAGTTCTGATTTCATCAGCACTTTCCTGCAGAAAGCACTGCCCTACCTAAAGCAGGCAATCCACCTCCTAGCAGGAAGTGAAAGCTCTTCTCACCCAGCTTTTGTGCTCTGTTACCAAACCTGGTTTGTGAGAGCATTTCAAACCCTGCGAGAGTCCTCGGAGCACAGGTCTTTCTGAATTTATACCTAACGAGCTTCACATGGTGAAGGGCTCTGCTCAGTAAAGCACTGCTTTGATTTGCTGGATGCCTTTGGATCCCCCTTATGGCGAAATGCCTTGAGTTTGGTTGTTTCTGAGCAAGTGTATAACTAGAGACAAGACAAACAGATAAAAGAAAGTGCAAAAGATGGCTGGGGGTGGGAAATATAAAGGAAGACGATGTTAGCTCCATTCTCAGATAATACGCTCTTTTTCCTTTCCATGACCTATTCCAAAAGTCCTTTACAACCCCACGGAAGCAGAAAATAAGATAAAGCGTTCTAAATCCCCCTCCGTGAGCAAAGACCCCAAGAAAGCAAGCAAGATACCATTCATATGCTTTAGGAAGCCAAAGTTCTTAAGTGCTGCTGGTCATCTAGCTATATTAGAAGGGCAAATCGTAGGTGGCAGTGTTGTGTTGACAGGAGTACCTAATATTTAGCAAGCACTTGCTGTGAACCAGGCCCACACTAAGTCTGTACAAATCTTACCTTATTTAATTTTTTTCTTTTTTTTAGGGCAACATTTAGCTGATTGCTAGGAGGAGTTCAAGGTCTTAAAAGTCTAAATATTTCAGAGACATGGAGATTTTAATACCACATACATCTGTCTATGTTATAACCATATTTTTGACTCCTGTAGTCAACATACTGGTTAAAAGTGAGGACTCTGGAGCCAGATTAAGTGCGATATGAATCCAGTTCAGCTGCTTTCTAGGTGTGTGAGCTTGGGCAAGTGATTTAACCTCTCTGAACTTCTGTTTCCTGGTCTGTAAAGTGGAAGGACTAGTAGATTTCCTGTTTCAGGGAGTTGTGCGGATTAAATGAGCTATTACATGTAGAACAGGGCTGGCCTACAAAATATATTACTTTCGTTGATTCTCTATGACTTCTTCTCCAAGGAAAAATGTGTTCCTTGCTTTTGGTCCTTACCCCTTTCCTAGCATGTGCTTCAGGCTCCCGATCTGTAAAAAGGGAATATATATCTATCTCGCATGATTGTTTGCATGATTTGATGACTTACTTTATGTCGTGTTACCCTGCACACATGAGTTCTTCATAGTAGGCTTTCAATAAATAAACTTCAACTTCTCTTGATGTTGTAGTGTAGAAGCTTATTCTAATATTTTGATTTATCTTTAATTTTATGTGTGCCAAATAGAAAGCAGTCATTCATATATAAATGTATTCATTAACATGATTCAGAAGTATCATTTCTTGCACAAGTGTTTTTTTTTTTAAAGTAACCGTTTGAGGCAATGTGCAAAGTAAAAAGATTATTTCCTAATCTGTGAGAACTTACAAACTAAAATGAATTTTGATTCAACCAAGTTCAACCACTATTTATTGAATATCTGTGATGGTTACAGCATTGTGCCGGGTAGGGAAAGGGAGAATTAATCCCAATCCCAGGGAGCTTTCCATTTACTTGGGCAGACAAAGCACACACGGGAAATCGGAATGTAAGAGCATTCCGGGTGTGACCGATCCACGAGTCCTCAGAGTTCAGGGATGGCAGGAATCAGCGAGGACGGAGGGAAGAGGGGACAGGGCTTCCAGGTTGAGGAAAGGCCAAGCCAATGCTGAGATTGCCCACAGGTGTGACTGGGGTGAGAGGCAGCACCTCCTGAAAGGCAGCGGTTGCAGTTGCCTGAGCATGTCCAAGGGAAGTGAGCATTTAGAAAACACGTTTGGAATGAAAGATAGACAGAAATCGGAGACCAATGGGACAAAAGTGGTAGAATGAAACAGATGGGCTCAAAAAAGCTTGAGGCAGAGTGGGGAGTTAGGGCTTTGCCGACAGAGGAAATGGCAGCAGCGATGCATTTAACTGAGTTTTTGAAACTCCACCTCGAGGATGAGGAAACTTGAGTGTTGCTTTGCCGAAGGCAGTTGGAGGGAGAGCCGGCCTGTGGGGAGGGAGAAGTAAATGATGATGAATTTATTTTTAAAATTTTTAGGTTTTATCCAAATAGGGATAATGTTATCTGACATCTATGGGATCTCCTTCCCTTCTCCGTGGAGGCACAATATTAACTCTTCGTCTTATCTCATCCTTGCAAATGATGGAATTGTTTCTTAGGTGAGGTATTCGTAGATTTTAAGTATTTGGCTCTCGTAAATATAAACTGCCCCCAGAACTGCCTAAAGATAAAACCTATGTGAGAACATACTCTTTGTCCCTTGTATAGAAGAGAAAATCAAGTCATAAGCAAGTCAAAAAATATGCTCAAAGAAACAGCTGGTAAGTAGCAGAGCTGGGATTCAGGCAGTTTGTCTCCAGGGTCCACACTGTTGCCCACTATGCATGGGAGAGGGTGAGAATTCTCTAAGAGCTGAGATGGTATTTCTCTCCACAATCTGAAAGAGGAAGATCCTTCTCCACTCACTGTTCTCCTCCACAAATACTGAAAGTGTTGGAAACAAGCAACGAGATAACCCAAGACTCGTCCAAAATACTTGTTACAAAGTCCTTTAAAGGTCCAGGAAAAAGTAAATTCCAAAACAGAGACAAGTCGCTCTAGGAAACACTGCAAACTCTTTGACCTCATTAGGCCAACAGACTGTCTAGCTACAACCTTGCATGGATTAGCAAAAACAAGCCACATGTAGGAATCCATCAAGATGAGCAATGTAGGAGAAAAACATGCTACTACTTAATTCAAGTTCTGCCACTGAGACTGTTTCATGCTTTAGTTATTTCTCACCTGGACTATTGTTGGTACCTTGGCAAGTTCTTTCTATTCATCTGTCATGTTTTACTGTCTATTCAAAACACAGAAACACATTTATTTTTTCCCCACCAGCTGTAATTCTCAAACCACTCCTTGCTCAGGCAATTATGCCAGTTTTCTGTTTCATCAGAGAATTCAATTTAAAATTTTAGTGCCAGTGGTTAAAATACTTACTTCATACATAACTTGAGGTTTGTATGGCTCTAATTCACATTATGTTTCTGTTCACACTTTGCATTCTTTAATTGATTTATTTGTTAGCAATGCCATCTGTAGATTTTAAGTACTGAGCTTTCACAAATGACTTTTTTCCTCCTCTCAAAGCTGTTTTCAAAATTATTTCCCTCACCTTTTTGCAATCAAAGCTGTGCTACATTCTCATTTTCCAGAGTTGAACATTTTTATAGTGTTGCCTTCTCGTGTCTTTATCCTAAGTTTGATTATACAGGTCTGTGCATATACAACTTAACCACAGAGATATTGTCTTTGTGTGGTATCCCATCGGAAAGGTACTTCTAACTTGAGCTCTGTCATCTGCTCTATAGGCACTATGAAAATCTAAATTTCAACAGAATAAAAGCAGTTCATTTGTTCTTTGGGTTGGTTGATGAATGTACAATTTGTGACTGTAAAGTCTTCAGACTAACCTAGAGCGTGTGTGTATGAATGGCTCTCTGCTAGCTTGTATTTCATAACCTTTGAGCAAAGGGTCCTTTCCATCTGGGAATGACCAGCTCCCTCCCTGGTGCCTGGAGCGTGTTGGTAATCAACAAATGGCTATTAGATGAGTAAATTATAAATACAAGTTAGTTATTTTGTCAGTCTAAAACAAGATGTGGCCATATTTTGCACAGAACAGGGAACAGAAAAATGTAGTCTTCATTTTGACTTCACTCTACCTTTGTAATGTCTTGAAAGTGTTATGACCTGCAAGGATGGAAGAGTATGCAATGATCCCTTTGCCTGCAAATGTTACCGATTGTATGGCATTCTGTTTCCATTAGTGGTATGATTGTGGATGACAACAGTGAGGGACCTTTGCCCCTAATTCTCAAGAGTGTGGGATTAGTCAAATATCCTTAAAAAAATACTTGTGTATAGGTGTGTTTTAGACTTCTGCCCTCTTGAAGTTCTTTGCTCCAAATACTTAACTATTACTGGAAAACAAAAATCCCTCAAGATTCTTTCCATGCCCATAAATTTATAAAGAGCTGTGGTTCTTACCTTGGCTTCCCATTGGAATCACCTGGGGAGCTTAGAACATGTTGACGCCTGGATCCCACCCCAGAATTCTGATTTAATTGGTCTTGGGTATGACTTAGGCATAGAAAATTTTAACATTTCCCCAGTTGATTCTAATGTGCAGCCAAGGTTGATATATTAAAAATAATACCCTGTATTAACTGTTGATAAAGGATAATATTTTTAAATACTCAAAAAGCCAGACTTCAAAATATGGCATAATACATTTTATTTTAACCAAGAAGTTTTTCATATTAAAATATTCATAACAACTCTGACTGAACTATTGGTTAGAACAACATTTTTCAAAGCATTAGTGGCAGATCACCTGGAAAACGTGTTAAATCTGAAGATTTTTAGACTCCTCACTTTAGAGATTCTGATTGGGTACACTTGTGGTAAACCCAAAAATCTGCATTTAAAAAAAACACACCCAAATTATTCTTGTGCATATTAAATTTGAAGAAGCACTGCCTCCAAAAGACATCTGAAAAAGTTAAAATCAGCTTTAGGTAGTTCTAACAGGGAACACACCACTTGGTGGTCTTGTGATTCTGTCATAGCAAAATAATAAAGATTTCAAAGTACTGACACAATATAGATTTCCACTTTATAAATTTTCTAGAAGTTTTTGGAATGCAAATTACATATTGACAACAGTAAGAATTTTTGAAAAAAAAATCTATAAATCCCTTAAATCAGTGTGAATGTCTATTCTGTGCAGAAATGTAAGCTTAAAAATGTTAAACTAATCTAATAACTAATTCTTCAGTGTAAAAACAGTATGAAGGAATTCAAGACTGCTATCATGTTTAAAAAAATACCTAGAATACCTTTCAATTTAGGCTTAAAATCAGCCCTTGATGCACTAGTGTTTTAAAAGATTAGACAAAAGTTTAAGGCATCCAGTTATGTTGAACAAATTTAAGAACACTCAGGATAACAAATTCTTGTAGACTTTAGGACAAGCAGATATTTTAGTTTAGAGCTGAAAAACTCTTCTATTTAGCTTAAACTTCAGTGGGAATTTAGAGAAAATGAATTACTCAAGCTGGAACTACATCAAAATGTCAAGTTAACACATTTTGGCTTGTAATGGTGCCAAGGGATCCAATGTCTGAATAATCAGGGCTGTAGATTTCCAAATCATTTTAAACATAATGTCCTTACCAGGATGCTGGATTTTTCATTTCAGTTTTTCTTAGTTCTTTCCTTTCTACAGCTTTAACCCAGGTTAACCAAAACCTGACAAGATCATGTTGCAATTAATTGAAACAGCTGCCAAGAAACAGCTGCAAATAAAAACGTTAGCACAGAAGTTCACAGATTCAGAAAAAAACGTTAAAATTAAGACTAGTAATTTTTCCATGATAGTCAATGATGCATTTGATTTTCTGTAAACTTTTCTTGGGCTTTTGGAGGTTGAATAACTTGTATACAAGATAGTATTATAACCAAAGAACATCATGGACTGTGGTTGCCAATGTTTGTCTTAGAAATTTTCCTGGTTGGTCCCCTTGTAATAATTGTTCCTTGCACAGTACCATGACTCTCACACCCAACTCCTGGTCACAGGGATGTGTTTATAACCTGGACTAGTCTAATCATAGTACCCATTTATACTACAGGTGGTCCATAGGTTAGTTACATCATTTGAATTTTTTAGAATCAATTGTCAGATATCTTAATTTAGTCTTGGAGAAGCAGCCCCGCTCTGGGTTCAGGATACAGAAAAGATGTAAAGGTTAAGACAGTGTAAGGCCATCTTTCCCACCATTTGGAGAAAGCCTGTCTGTAGTGAGAGAGAACGGAGCAAACAGAGATAGGCAGAAATTAGGGGTGGACATAAATAATCCTGGGGGCATTGAATCTTGGTTCTAATTCTTGAAGCCTTGGTTCCTGCAATTTTCTTTGATTCTGTGAGCTCTTCTCTAGCATCTTTTCTCACTATAGGAACTAAGAAATCCCTTTTGGCTTAAGCCATTTTGAATTGGGTTTTTAACCTTTGCAACCAAAATTCTAACATAGAATATGAGATTAACTAGTCTCACCCATCATTTTACAGACAAGAAAGCACAGATTGGGCCAGGCGCGGTGGCTCACGCCTGTAATCCTAACACTCTGGGAGGCCGAGGTGGGCGGATTATTTGAGCTCAGACGTTAGAGACCAGCCTGAGCAAGAGCGACACACCGTCTCTACTAAAAAAAAAATAGAAAATTATCTGGACAACTAAAAATATATAGAAAAAATTAGCCGGGCATGGTGGTACATGCCTGTAGTCCCAGCTACTCGGGAGGCTGAGGCAGTAGGATCGCTTGAGCCCAGGAGTTTGAGGTTGCTGTGAGCTAGGCTGACGCCATGGCACTCACTCTAGCCAGGGCAACAGAGTGAGACTCTGTCTCAAAAAAATGAAAAAAAAGAAAAAGAAAAAGAAGGCACAGATTAACTTGTCCAAAGGCACACATGACAATTTAATTCACCTTTCTTTGCTTTTCAATCTCTTGGCATGATTTCCCTCAACAAAAAGTTGAAAACTTTGAGAGTTAGTAGGTCTATGTGTTTAATAACCCCCATCACATTCGCAGTTGGTTCCAAGTAGACTTGTGACTGGGTAGACCAGTGTCAGTTCTGAGTTGAAAATACACCCTCCCAGAACATGGGGCTACAGCTCTGCAGCAGAGTGTAGCTGCACTGATTATTGTTCCATTGTAAAGATAGTTTCTATAGAATCAAGGCTGAAAGGATGCAATTTCCACATTCCCTCCAAGAGTTGAGTTTGTGGCACCTTGAAGATCTAAGCAGTTGAGTGTCATAAACAACAAAAACATTAGGTTAAAACATTTTTATAACTGTTTTAGAAGTTGTCAATACCAAAACACTAAATTCACATGAGTAACCACCATGCAAGAATATATTGTGTAGTGAAAACCTG